GATTTCTTCTTTGATCCAGTAGTTGTTCAGTAGCATGTTATTTAGTCTCCACATATTTGTAACTTTCCCACTTTCTTCTTATAGTTGATTTAGTTTCATACAATTGTGGTCAGAAAAGATGCTTGATATGATTTCAATCTTCTTAAGTTTATTGAGGCTTGTTCTGTTTCCCAACATATCATGTATCTTTGAGAATGTTCCATGTGCACTTGAGAAGAATATGTATTCTGCTACTTTTGGGTGGAAGGTTCTATATATAACTATTAAGTCCATCTTGTCTAGTGTTTCATTTAAAGCCTCTGTTTCCTGTAGACTTTCTGTCTAAATGATGTATCTATTGATGTAAGTGGGTATTAAAGTCCCCTACTATTACTGTGTTGCTATCAATTTCTCCCTTTAGGTCTATTAATAGTTGCTTTATATACGTCAATGTTCTTATGTTAGGTGAACATATATTAAAAAATGTTATGTCTTCTTGGTTGAATGTCCCTTTTATCATTATATAATGCCCATCTTTGTCTCTTCTTATCTTTTTTGGCTTGACGTCTATTTTTTTCTGATATAAGTATGGGTACACCCACTTTGTTTTGATTGCCATTTGGTTGGAGTGTCATCTTCCATCACTTCACTCTGAGCCTATGTTTGTCTTTAGAGCTGAGATGGGTCTCTTGGAGGCAACATATTGTTGGATCTTGTTTTTATAACCATCCAGTCACTCTGTGTCTTTTGATTGGTGAATTCAATTCATTCATATTTAGAGTGATTATTGATATATGAGGGCTTAATATTGCCATATTATATTTTGTTTTCTTGTTCTATATTTCAATTGTTTCTTTTTCTTTGTATTTCTGTGTGCCATTTCAGTTTGGTGGCTTTCTGTGATGTTTTTCCCAGTTTCCTTTTTATTTATGATTTTTGACTCGGCTCTCATTTTTTGTTTAGTGGTTACCACGAGGTTTGTAGAAAAGATCTCATAGATGAGAGTCCTTTTTCTGCTGATAACTAACATCTTATCTCCATTAGCTTATGCAGGTTCTGTCCTTTTCCTCTTCCCCTTCTGCCTTTGTTGTGGCAAATTATCCTTTTTGTCTTGTGAGTTTGTTCCCAAATTGAAGTGGTTATAATTACTTTTGATGCTTTCTTTCCCTTTAGCCTTTATATTTTAATTGTTTACTAACCTATTTTGATATAGAGTTGCAATTTTCTGATTCTATTTATCACCTTGCTCAAGCTTTGTAAACCTTTGCCTTTTTGTAGGCAGGTAGGAGGGCTCCTTTCAGCATTTCTTGTAGGGCAGGTCTAGTGATGATGAGCTCCCTTAGCTTTTGTTTGTCTGAGAAAGCCTTTATTTCTCCATATCTGAAGGATAAGTTTGCAGGGTAGAGTATTCTTGGCTAATAATTTTTGTCTTCCAATATTTTGAATATATCATTCCACTCTCTCCTAGCCTGTAGAGTTTCTGCTGAGACATCCACTGATAGCCTGATAGGGGTTCCTTTGTAATTTATTTTCTTCTTCCTGGCCACTCTTAATATTTTTTCTTTGTCATTCACTTTTTTTGTGTGTGTGAGGAAGATTGGCCCTGAGCTAACATCTGTTACCAATATTCCTCTTTTTGCTCAAGGAAGATTGTTGCTGAGCTAACATCTGTGCCAATCTCCCTCTGTTTTAGGTGGGATGCTACCACAGTGTGGCTTGATGAGTGATACTAGGTCCACGTCCAGGATCCGAATTTGCAAACCCCGGCCTGTTGAAGTGTGCCAATTTAACCACTATGCCACCAGGTCTGCCTTTCTTTGTCATTGACTTTTGACAGTTGTAATATAATACACCTTGGAGAAGGTCTCTTGTGTTGTGATAATTAGGAGTTCTATTAGCTGCATGTACTTGTATGTCCAGTTCTTTCCCCAGATTTGGGAAGTTCTCAGCTATTCTTTCTTTGAATAAGCTCTCTATTCCTTTCTCCCTCTCTTCTCCTTCTGGGATACCCATTATCCTTATGTTACTTTCCCCAATCGAGTTGGGTATTTTTTGTAGAATTTCTTCCCTTTTAAAAAATCTTAATTCTCTCTCCATTTCCACCTGAATCATTTCTAGATTTCTTCTTTAAGCTTACTAATTGTCTCTTCCATATGGTATGCTCTATTTCCAATGCTTTTTACTTTATTTTTCAACTCATTAATTGTATTCTTTATCTCTAGAATTTCTGGGTTTTTTTTTAGAGTTTCAGTCTCTTTGGTGAAGTCCTCCTGTTCATTAATGTTTTCCTGAGCTCATTGAACTGTCTGTCTGAGTTTTCTTCTGACTCATTGAGTTTCTTCATGACAGCTAGTTTGCATTCTCTGTCAGTTAGATTGTAATCTTGTTTGACTTCAAGTCTGGTTTCTGGAGAGCTGTCCTTCTCCTTCTGTCATTGTCCTTCTGTTCTGCTGTATTACTGTAGTTCTTGATGGTGCATGATGACTTGATCCTCTACTGGTGCATTTGTGGTAGCAACCACCTTTCTTATTTGGGTGAGGCTTTTGTTACTTTGATTCTGAGCTGCTTCTGGTTGTATTTGAGAGCCTGCACTTTCAACGCTCCACTGCCGCCTTGTGCTGCTTGTGCCTCTGAGGTTTCTGCTGCCTTGCTGCTTATCGTGTCGCTACAGTCTCAGGTGTCACCACTGGGGTCACCAGGCTGCAAGCACTTCTGCTGTTCCTGGGTTGCCTGGGTCTTGTGTTCCCCAACTGGTTGTCCTTGGGCTCTCCATGTGCTTGAGTGCTGCTGCCACCTGCACCACCTGTGCTGTTGCCCCCAGTTTATCTGGGGATGCTGGTAGCATCACTGCCAAGAGTACTGGGTCAATGAGTATCACCGTTGCTTCCAGGGATCCGGGTAGAACCAGTGTTAGGGGTGCTGCCATTGGCAGCTGGGTCACGGGTTCTGCTGTGGCTCCTGAAGCCTCCGGTTGCAGATGCCACCTGCCACTGCTAGGGGAGGGGCAGGTGCTACACCACGAGTGCTGTTGCTGCTCCTGCAGCCTCTGGTTGCCAGCACACACTGGTGTGCTTTTTTTTTTTTTAAAATTTTTAATTTTTTTTTCCTTTTTCTCCCCAAAGCCCCCCAGTACATAGTTGTATATTCTTCGTTGTGGGTCCTTCTAGTTGTGGCATGTGGGACGCTGCCTCAGCGTGGTTTGATGAGCAGTGCCATGTCCGCGCCCAGGATTCGAACCAACGAAGCACTGGGCCGCCTGCAGCGGAGAGCGCGAACTTAACCACTCGGCCACGGGGCCAGCCCCGCACACTGGTGTGCTTTTTGAACCCTCAGGTCAGGGCATCACTGCCCCTGCTGGTGTATCAACATTGGATGTAGCCCTTGCTACTGGAAAGACTGGGGTTGCTCCTGGGAAAGGTGGGCTAGGTCACTGGCACCACTGTTTCCTGGAGCCTCAGGTCATGGGCACTACCTGCCACCACTGAGGGGGCACGGGATAAAGCACAAGTGTCACTGCTGCTCCTACAGCTTCTGGTCACTGGTGCATGACAGTGTGCTTTTTGAAACCTCAGGTTGGGGCACCACCACCCCCGCTGGGGATATCCACATTTTGGCTGCTGTCCCCACTGCTGGAAAGACTCATGTTGCTGCCTCGGGATGGGGAGGAGGCTGTGTCACTGGCACCACTGTGTGTCCTGAAGCCTCGGGTCTGGTATGCCACCTACCACGACTGGGGTGGCAGGGACTAGGCCACAAATGCTGTGTCTGCTGCAGCCTCTGACTGCCAGTATGTACTGGTATGCTCCTTGAAACCTCAGGTCAGGGCACCACTGCCACTGTCGGAAGCATCTGCATTTTGGAACTCTGCCACTAGCTAAGAGGGAGAGGGCTGCCCCCCTAGGTCCACTGCCTTCCAGAGGTCCACTCCACCCACCTTTTTATGTATAAATGCCTGGATCTCTCAGGCATTCTAGTGTGCTGTGGAAAGAGTCATTTGTCAGTCAATGAAGGGCCCACTGATTGTAACTTAGGGAAGAGACAAAGGTAGCAACTTACTCCACCACAACTTCTTCACTCCTGAAATCACATTCTTCTGTCTCTTCTTTCTGTTTCCTGTCCTACTTGCCTCCTCAAAAAATCACAGTGCGTTTGGATCCCTGTCGCAGTTTCCGCTTCTAGGGAAACTCAAGTAAAATATATTGTTTTTCCTAATTCTGTCTTTTCCTCTCATTCAAGGTATTAGCCACCAGCTTTTGAACTTCAAATTTTAAGAGCATAATTGATTGATATCTGAGTTCTATTCGTTTAGAATTAGCTAGTGCCTGTTATGAAAAGAGACCTTAGCCTTTTGGTCCTAGAGGAAGTAGGGGAGAGGGATCCGATGGAGATATGCTCCCTTATCTCCTAAATATTGCTGCATTTCTCCTGCCTTTAGGCTTTGTCTGCTGCTTTTGTTCCACTGGGTCTTGAAGGATTTCTCGGTCTCAGGAAATCTCTGAAATATGTATCCCTGAGGTTTGAGAAGTAAATTATTAGTAAGGCAACCTTGAACTTTTGGGTGATGGGGAGACGGAATGCTAACCATGTGGCACATAGTAGATGTACTTTGCGGTCAAGGACTGGATTGTTGTGAAATACCCAAGGCCTCATATCCCTACTTTCCTCAGTTTTTCTGGGGCTCCATACAATGTGGTTTTGTTTTTCTTCTCTGTGATCCTGCTGCACCTTTCAGTCTATTTTAGTGCATATCACAGTTTGCTTGATAATGCAGTTTGCCCATGCCTATGCTGTGATCCCCTACTAGGCTGCGTCTTTCTTGGGGGAAGGAACCCTGTTTTTAGAATCTTTTGATGTGCTCCATTTCCCAGCATGAATAAAGTGCTCAATGTATGTCTGTTATCAAATGAACAGAGTTGGCATTTTTGTTGAGTAAGATTGTACTGCATAGAACTTTTGAAAGAAATGTTTTAATTCGGAGAAACAACAAGATGGAAAGAGGATATATAGAAGGAACAGAAATGATTAAATGTGTATTATATTATATATTACATGTTCATTATTGAAATTCACCTAAACTCAAAAAATATCCAGAGAGAGAAGAAAAATGTTGAATATTGATGCAAGATTACTGAAGTCATATTGGGGTTAATCCAAAAAGCAGATCAGAAATTCAAGACCAAAGAATGCCTAAGTTATTGTTTAAAAACTTTCACATCAAGTTACACAAACCATTAGTGGTATGTGAAAACAGATTTCTCTTCTACTTCACAGAGGCTGGCAAGAGAACAAGTCTTGTTCCCTTGCTCTGATTTTTAGAGTTCCATGCAGAATGACAGAGAGGTATCAGCCATATTTTTCTCATAGTCTTCATTAAATCGCTTGTTCTGAGTTTCAGTGAACTGATTTTTCCAATCTCCTATGACTCCTAAAAAGAGTAATGTATAGCACAATCAGTGATATTTTCATGAACTTTGACCATTTTTCATTTAGATATCCCTGTCCTCCAATACTTAATTTCCTTACATAGACATTAGCCCATTGTTCTCCTGATATTGAGTGAGAAGTGAAGCTACAGGTAAGATTGCTCCATTTTGCAAATGAGGTATTTGTAAACAGAAATCTTTATTCTGAAACACGTGGGGAGGGGCTGAAATCCAGACCTGGGTTCTCTAATTCTCTGCATTACACTCTTGAGTGCTCTGATCTACTGGTAGTTTCTGAACCCTCATTACCTCTAACATTCTATTTAAGTTAACTGGACTAATTTTCTTATCCTCTCTTTAGAAGTCACTGAAGGGCTGATGTGAATGGCTGCATCCTCAGAGCATTCTCTGGTCCTATCTGTATCTCTAGTTCAGGCAAAAATTCTAGTTGAGCACAAATGAGAATTCTCCTTTGCAATCTAAATTATCATTGCTGTTAGCATATAATTAAATTAAAGTAATAGAACATGAAGGAATGGCAGGGTTGATTAACTTTGTTTCATGCTTATATAATAGAATATTCAATTATTTTTTTAGCTTCAATAACTAAAAATGATCAGAAAACCCATAGAAAGCTATTTCCCTTCTGATTGCTCCAGGCTGTCTCATTCATCTAGTCTCTTTGAGATGTGTAATGTTATTTTCATGTGTGAAGTGCAAATTTGCTTAGTTTTCTAGAGATGATAAGTTATATGATTATATAGTTTATCGATTGGCTTAGAACAAAATTAGGTGACCAAGTGACATCAGGAAAATGGTGGAGTAGGAGACACCAGCCTGTATCCATACACAAAAAGCAACCGTTGGACAGCTATCCATGACAAAAACAGCTCTGGGAAGGCTTCAAGAATCTAATTAAGAACCTGAAGCAACACAGTGGATCAAAAACAGAAGATAACCATAAAGGAAGCTCACTGAGGAGACTGGCATAGCTGAGATGTCTGAAGATGGCTAGGAACAAAGAAGGGTGGGAGCTATCACTATCAGACATGCAGTGGGTTTCATTGTGGTCCCCAGTAGCCTGCACCCTAGCAGACCTCAACAATCCTACAACAGCCGTAGACTCCCTGTAGCTGTCACAGTGGAGGACTCTATAGTATTTGTTAGCATGGACCCCAGTGGTTTGCTCTGCAGAGGACTCTGGCACATTTCCCCACCAAGGTAACCAACAGCCATTGCCACTGCAGACCCCCTGGAGAGGGAGATACTGCTGTGTTCCCTCCTCTCCAAGAAAGAGCTGTTGTCGTGCTGCCCTGGGACCATGGCCTCCACTCATCTCAACTCCACGCATGCCCTGGATGCCAGAGCCCCCACCAGTCCGTGTATGCCCACTCTCCATATCCAGGCCCCATGACCACTTTGCATGCACCTGCACTCTGATTCTGGCTCCATGGCCTCTCTGCAAGCACACACACCACAGAAACCAGACCCACTACTCCAGTAAGTGCATCTGCACCCCAGGCCCCAGAGCCACAGTCGCTCTGCAAATGCTTGCACTCTGGACTCTGGCTCTGCAACTGCTCCTAGAGTGCCTACATTTAGGACACCAGAGCCACTGTCATGATGACCATGAACCTTGGAGCCATTGTAGCCCTGTAAACTCCCATGCTTTGGGCCTTTGTTCCATGGCTGCTCCATGAGGGCCTACCCATCAGATACTGGTACCACCACCACCACTACCACAATTGCACCTGTAAACCACATTCAGAGCAAAGAAGGATCTCTTTGGCTACAACTTCCCTTGAGGAGAAAAAAGAGATCAAGAGTACCCTAGCAGCCTTCAGTGCTGAAGACCTCCAGAGCTCATGCTGCTACTGTGGACACCACCAGTCAGAATTGCTGAGAACCTCTGCAATCTTCACTGACACTGCCCTGAGCTGATGGAGCCACACAGAGACCATGCTACTGTGCCCGACCTGGAGCTGGAATTGCTGCACCCCACCTGGCCAGTGACCTCACACACACCCGTAGGTGAAGATCTTTCCCCACTAAAACCAAACCACAAAGTCTGGAAGAGGTGTCTACTTAGCAATATGCAGACATCAACACAAGGCTACAAGAAATACAAAAAATCAAGGAAACATGATGTCAAAGGAATGCAATAATTTTCCTAACTTATCTCAAAGAAATGGAGGTGTATGAGTTGCTGGATAAAGAATTCAAAGTAATTATTTTAAGGAAGCTCAGTGAGCTACAAGAGAACACAGACAACTCAAGGAGATCAGGAAAATAATACATGAACAAAATGAGAATTTCAACAAAGTGATAGAAACCGTAAAAAAGAAAGAAATGGAAATTTCTGGAGCTGAAGAATACAATGAATGAAGTGGAAAAAAATGCAGTAGAGAATGTCAACAACAGATTTGATCAAGCAGAAGGAAGAACCTGCAAACTCAAAGAGAAGTCATTTGAAATTATCCAGTTAGAGAAACAAAAAGAAAAAGAATTAAAAAGAGTAAAGAAAGTCTATGGGATTTATGGGATACCATCAAGAAGACCAGTATACATACAAACTATAAGAATACTATAGGGAGAAGAGAGATAATGGCTTATATATCTTTAAATAAGATATTAAAGATATAATGCTGTGAAACTTCCCAAATCTTGGGAGAGATATGGACATCCAGGGAAATGAAACTCAAAGGTCCCCAAACAGTTTCAACCAAATGAGGTCCTCACTGAGACACATTATAATCACACCATCAAAAATTGACAGAGAAAATTTGAAAGCAGCAAGAGAAGAGACTTATCACATACAAGAGAACCCCCATAAGGCTATCAACAGATTTCTCAACACAAACCTTGCAGGCCAGGAGAGAGTGAAATGATAAATTCAAAGTGCTGAAAGAAAAAAACTTGTCAACCAAGATTTTTTTATTTGCCAAAGATGTCCTTCAGAAATGAAGGAGAGAAAAGACTTCTCCAGACAAACAAAAGTTGAGGGAGTCAGTCACCATTAGACCTGCCATACAAGGAATGCTAAAGAGAGTTCTTTAAGATGAAACAAAAAGACACTAATTAGTAACATGAAAACATATGGAAGTAAAAAACTCACTGGTAAAGCTTAGTGAGATTCAAAATACTCAAACAGTAATGGTAGTGTGTAAATCACTTTAAATCTAGTATAAAGGTTAAAAGACAAAGTATTAAAAGTAACTATAACTACAATAATTTGTTAATGGACATAATGTAAAAAGATGTAAATTGTGACATTAAAAAACAAAATGTGGGGGAGAGAGTAAAAACCATAGAGTTTTATAAGCAATCAAAGTTAAATTAAGCTTAAAATAGACTGTTATGTCTATAATGTGTCTTATGTAAGCCTCATGGTAACCACAAAGTAACAACCTATAGTAGATCCTCAAAAGGTAAAGGAATCAAAGCATAACAATACAAAAAAAATCATCAAATCTCAAAGGAAGACAGGAAGAGAGGAAGAAAGGAGCAAAGGAACTACAAAAGAGCCAGAAAACAACAAAATGGCATTAATAAGTTCTTACGTATCAAAAATTTATTTAAATGTAAATGGTTTAAATTCTCCAATCAAAAGACATAGAGTGGCTGAATGGATAAAGACCAAGATCCAACTATACGCTGCCTGCAGGAGACTCACTTCAGCTTTAAGGAATAGACTGAAAGTGAAGGGATAGAAAAAGATATTCCATGCAAGTCAAAACTGAAAAAGAACCAGATGTGGCTATAATTAGACAAAATAGACTTTAAGTCAAAACTGTCACAAGAGACAAAGAAGGTCACTATATAATGATAAAGGAGTCAATTCATCAAGAGGACATAACAATTGTAAATATATATGCACCCAACATCAGATCACCTAAATTTATAAAGTACATGCTAACAGATCTGAAGGGAGAAATAGACAGCAATGAAATAATAGTAGGGGACTTTAATACCCTACTTTTAACAATGGATAGTTCATCCAGGCAGCAAATCAGTAAGAAAACATTGAACTTGAATGATAATTTAGACCAAATGGACTTAAAAGACATATGTGGAATATTCCATCTAACAGCAGCAGAATGCACGCTCTTCTCAAGTGTATATAAAACAGTCACCAGGATAGATCATATGTTAGGTCACAAAACAAGTCTTAAAAAATTTAAGAAGATAGAAATCATATCAAGTATATTTTCCAACCACAAAGGTATGAAACTAGAAAATGATAACAGGAGGAAAACTGGAAAATTCACAAGTATGTGGAATTTACACACTCCTAAACAACCAGTGGGTCAAAGAAGAAATCTAAAGAGAAATAAACAAATATTTTGAAACAAATGAAAGTGGAGACAATATACCAAAACTTATGGGATGCTGCAAAAGCACTTCTAAGAGGAGGTTTATAGTGATAAATGCCTATATTAAGAAAATAGAAGGATCTCAAATAAACAACATAACTTTACACTGGAAGGAGTGAGAAAAAGAAAGAAAAACTAAGGCCAAAATTAGCAGAAGAAAATAAATAACAAAGAGCAGAGCAGAAATAAATGAAATAGAAACCAAAAAAATAGAAAAGATCAATGAATTGAGTTGGTTTTTAGAAAAGGTAAACAAAATTCACAAACCATTAGCTAGACTAAGAAGAGAGGACTCAAATAAGTAAAATCATAAATGAAAGAGGAGACATCACAACTGATACCACAGAAGTACAAAGGATCATAAGAGAATACTGTGAACAATTATACACCAACAGATTGGATAATCTAGAAGAAATGGATAAATTTCTGAAAGCATACAACCTACCAAGACTGAATCTTGAAGAAAGAGAAAAGGTGAACAGACCAATAACAAGTAAGGAAATTGAATCAAAAATAAAAAATCTCTCAAGACAGAAAAGCTCAGGACCAGATGGCTTCACTAGTGAATTTTACCAAACAGTTAAAGAAGAACTAATATCAATTCTTCTCAAACTCTTCCAAAAAACTGAAGAGGAGGGAACACTCCTAAACTCATTTTATGAGGCCAGCATTGCCCAGATACCAAAGCCTGAAAAGGACACTACAAGAAAAGAAAACTACAGGCTAGTATCCCTGATGAACATAGATGCAAACATCTTCAACAAAATATCAGCAAATCAAATTCAGCAGCACATTAAAAGAATCATAAACCATGATCCACTGGGATTTATCCTTGGGATGGCTCCACATGCTCAAATCAATCAATGTGATAGTCTACTAACAAAATGAAGGATAAAAATCATATGATCTTCTCAAAGATGCTGAAAAAGCATTTGACAAAATTCAGAGTGCATTCATGATAAAAATTCTCAATAAATTAGGTATAGAAGGAATTTATCTCAACACAAAAATGGCCATATAAGACAAATCCATAGCTAACATCACATTCAATGGTGAAAAGCTGAAAGCTTTTTCTCTAAGATCAGAAAGAAGACAAGGTTGCTCAGATATGCCACTTCTATTCAATGTAGTACTGAAAGTCCTAGACAGAGGTATTAGGCAAGAAAAAGAAATAAAGGCATCCAAAATGGAAAGGAAGAAGTAAAATTATTTCTGTTTGCGGTTGACATGATCATATATGTAGAAAACCCATAAAGACTCCACAAAAAAGCTGTTAAACAAATTCAGTAAAGTTGAGGATACAAAATAAACATACAAAAATCAATTGCATTTCTATACACTAATAATGAACTATCTAAAAAAGAAACTAAGAAAAAAAATCCCATTTATAGTGGCATCAAAAAGAATAAAATTCTCAGGAATAAATTTAACCAGGAAGCGAAAGATCTGTACACTGAAGACTATAAGATATTGATTAAAGAAATTGAAGAAGACAAACAAATGGAAAGATATACTGTGTCAATGAATTGTAAGATTTAATATTGTTAAGACTTCCATACCACCCAAAGCAATCTACAGATTCAATGCAATCCCTATCAAAATTCCAATGGCATTTTTCCATAAAATTGTTTGGAACTACAAGAGACCTCAAATAGCTAAAGCAGTCTTGATCAAGAAGAAAGATGGAGGCATCACACTTTCTGATTTCAAATAATATTACAAGGCTATAGTAATCAAAACAGTATGGTAGTGGCATAAAAACAGACCCATAGACCAATGAAACAAACTAGAGAGCCCAGAAATAAACTGACACGTATATAGTCAACTAATTTTCAACAAGAGTGCCAAGAATACAGAATGGGGAATTCTTCAATAAGTCTCTTCCATAGGTGGTACTGGGAAAACTACATATCCACATTCAAATGAATGAAATTGGACCCTTATCCCATACCATACATGAAAATGAACCACAAAAGGCTTAAACTTAAGACCTGAAACTGTAACACTCCTTGAAGAAAACATAGGGGAAAAAGCTCCTTGACATTGGTTTTGGCAATGAATGTTTGGATTTGACATTAAAAGCATAGGCAACAAAAGTACAAATATACAAATGGGACTACATCAAACTAAAAGCTTCTGCACAACAGTGGAAACAACAAGGTGAAAAGTCAACCTACGGAATGGGAGAAAATATTTGAAACCAAATATTTACAAGGAACTCATAGAACTCAATACCAAAAAAAACAAAAAACAAAAAAAGGTAACCAGATTAAAAAATGGGCAAAGGACCTGAACAGACATTTTTCAAAGGAGACAAATAGCCACAGGTATATGAAAAGATGCTCAACATCTCTAATCATCAGGGAGATGAAAATGAAAACTATAATAAGATATCACCTCACACATGTTAGGATGACTATTATCAAAAAGTTAAAAGATAGCAAGTGTTGATGAGGATGTAGAGAAAAAGGAACCCTTGTGTGCTGTTGGTGGGAATATAAATTGATACAGTCATTACAGAGAACCTTATGGAGTTCCTCAAAAAATTAAAAATAGAACTACCAGTTTGATCCAGCAATCCTGCTTCTGGGTTATATCCAAAGAAAATAAAATCACTATCTCAAAGAGATATTTGCACTCCCATTTCATTGCAGCATTATTCACAATAGCCAAGATATGGCAACAGTCTAAATGTCTACTGACAGACGAATGGATAAAGAAAACATGGTATATATAGGGGAATATTATTCAGCCAAAGAACAAAATCCTGACATTTGTGACAGTGTGGATGAAACTGGAGGACATTAGGCTAAGTGAAATAAGCCAGACACAGAAAGACAAATACTGCAAAATCATTTATATGTGGAATCTGAAAAAAAAGTCAAACTCATAGAAATAGAGTAGAATGGAGGTTACCAGGGTTTAGAGAGTGGGGCAAAGGAAGAGATGTTGGTCAACGGGTACAAACTTTCAGTTCTAAGATGAATAAAGTCTGCAGACCTGATGTATAGGATGATGATTATAATTAATAATTTATTACATACTGAAATTTGCTAAGATAGTAGATTTTTAGAGTTCTAACTCTGCCACCAAAATGGGTAACTATATGGGTGGTGGATATGTTAATTATCTTGACTGCGGTAATCATTTCATAATATATGCACATATCAAAACATCACATTATAAACTTTAAACATATATAATTTATATTTGTCAATCTTACCTAAATAAAGCTGGAAAGAAAAAACACCCAAAACTCAAAAAACTCCTCCATGCATAGTATGTTGCTGTGCATATAAATATATATGTATTTGGACAAATAGACTGTAAACTTTTTCTAATAAAAAACAAAAATTAGGTTCAATCAATGGTCAAATTAGAAAATTTCTTCTTTGAGCCTTAGAGTTATGCTTATTTCATCAAACAAAAGTCACTAGAATATTTATTTCATTTTCCTAAAATAATTACAACTTCACAGATTTTGTCTCCATAAGGAGTCAGCAGTGTGGTAGCGTAGGACGTAATCTGGGCTTGTGGCTGAAGGTCCTGGTTTTGGCTGGGCTTTGACTAAGTAGCCTCAAAGGTCCCTCTGTTCTGGCTCCTGAGGCCAAGAACCTTAGCTTCTGTCCTCCAGGATGTGTGGGGAGGAAAATTAGCTCCCCAGAGATTAAAGGCTTTACTTGAGACAGATTTTTTGGTCAAATACTTTTTGAAGCTCTGAGTTAAACAGAATTGAACAAGCTTCTTTTCAGAAACTTTAATATGCTTCAAAGCGGGCCAGATACAGTGTGTGGAGTTTCCCACAGTTCTATGATTGTGAAACATGGGCTACATGAGCTTTCTCTCAGAATAAGGCCTTAAAGAACTCACTTCAGGGAGCATTATAAATAGAAATTCACAGATCTTGAAGGTTAGAAAACCATTTATGAACCAATAATTCTTTTTTCTTTTCAGAGGAAAGACAGTCTGTACACATCACCTTTTCTCATGAATGGAGAAAGATTATGATTCATTCTAACTTCATTTATGTAGTTGGTCATGGGGTTCTTTTTCATTACATCAAATGAAGTATTATAGACAATTTTGTCTAAAATCTCTTCTTTTAGGTCCTTCCCCAGGAATTCCATCACTTTTCTAATTTCACGTTTTGGATCCTGTCAGGGAGAGTAGAAGAAACATAGTAGATTTTTTCTAAGTTAAAAATATAACAATAGTCAAACCTTAGGGAATTAAGCATGGGAATAATGGTTAAAACATTTAAAACCAATCTTTTACAAGCTTCTTAGTTTATGCTTAAAAGTAATTCTGGGGCCGGCCCCGTGGCCGAGTGGTTAAGTTTGCGTGCTCTGCTTCTGTGGCCCAGGGTTTTGCAGGTTCGGATCCTGAGTCTGGACATGGCACCGCTCATCAGGCCGTGCTGAGGTGGCGTCCCACATGCCACAACCAGAAGGACCCACAGCTAGAATATACAACTATGTACTGGGGGGCTTTGGGGAGAAGAAGGAAAAAAAGATTGGCAACAGATGTTAGCTCAGGGCCAATCTTTAAAAAAAAAGTAGTTCTAACAAGTTATGCTTATTATTATATGTAGATTTATGAATGTCAAATCAATAAACATGCCAATTTAAAGTGCAATTATATTAAAACAATTCTGTTTTATCACGTGCTATAGCTGATGCTAAGGGGATGTGCTGACAAGTGTTTCAACTGGGAAGCTTATTATTTTACTTCACTGTTACAGGTCGCAGATGAAGTATTTGGGAGAAGAGGTGGCTGTCTTTCAAAATAAACAAGACACGTTCCCTCCTTGTGATTGGAGAAGTAATGGTGGAGCTCACGGGGCTCTGGCGTGGTACAGAGGGGCTGCGGCGCCTCCCTCTCTTGGCTTCGCTTTGACGTCTGCTGATTCTGGATTTGGGCTTATTTCTGACTCTGGGCCTGTTGGGGATACCTGTTTACAGATGGACCTCACGAGAGTCCTTTACACTCTGAGATGGCTTCCTGCCTCTTCTGGAAGTGAAGACAAGGGGTCCAGTTTGGTGTGGGTGTTGGCCTGTTTGGAGGTCTCCAGGCTGCTTCTCGCAGGTCTCCCCTCTCCTCACGCAGCTCTGACTCAAGTTTGAAAGTCCTTTCCAACCTGGTTGAATGTTCCCTGCGGGTCTCTCAAACAGGCACAAAGCCAGGGGAAGCAGGGGCTACACTGACACTCAGGAAAGCTGCAGAGAGCAAGGATGAACCGAAAAAGGGATCTTGACCCAAGCCAAACAGATGGAAAGAAATGCATGCTGTCTATCCGGAGGGGAAAGAGGAAAGAGAGGCTGTGGCTCATGAAGGACATGAGTTGGTTAGTGATCCACGTCATAAACCGAGGCTTGAAGAACCATGGACCAGCCAGGGCTACACTGTGCCATAAATTTATTTTACGTATAAACTTATGTGACAGACTTTGAGCCCGGGATTACACATGCAAAGGATGTTGCTAATGGGGAACTTTTATTTAAAATGACAAAACTAATATTTTAAGAAGGCAAATAAATCAAAGCAGTGCTATTCTCCCTTACTAATTCTTTCCTGTCCAGATTCCTAATTCTTTTCCTTGGAAGTCAGAACAAATAATGGGGGAAGGTAGAGATCCTGGAAGAAGGAGCCTGGAGAGCTAGAGAGGGAGAAAGCTTGGAGCTCAAACAGGAGATCTATTCCAAGCTTCTGGATGAAGCGAGAATTGACCATGGAGCTCAGTAAGCCCTGCAGAGAGGCCAGGCTGCCTCCTGTGCAGCGTGCTAAGTGCGGCACCGGAACTGTGTTTGGAATTTCTTACGCCACATGGCAAGGTGGATGGAGAAGTTTAAGCTGGCATGCAAAATATTTTACATAGATCAACTTTTACATGTTACTTTTCTTCATTTCTATCAGGGATCTGTAACTCTAAGAAAAGAATACTATAAAGTCAAGATTCAAGTATATTTCTTACTTTCATCATTTCTTCGTAGAAAAGATAGAGAATGGGGTGACTGTCTTTCTTCCTCCACCAGCCCTTCACGTGGTCATACCAGGACCCCCATACCACTGAAAGGAAGACACAAAATGCATTTGGGCCATGAGATGGGGTGAGTAGGAAAAGGCAGAGAAGAAAATGAGTTGTTTCCTCAGAATACAAATGGAAGGTGTGGTCACTGCTGCTCTAGAGCAGGAGGACTTACTTTTCACACCTCTTATATCCATTTTCTGGATGACTTGTCTTCCTTTTGGAAGCTGGCAAGATTTCTAGAGACTGCTGCATTTGAATCCCAGCTCTGACACAGCTGTGTGATCCTGGGCCAGTTACTTAACCTCTCTGAGCCTCAGGTTTTTTTAATCCTCATTTCTGAAAGAGAGTCAATAATAGTACCTACCTCATAAGGTAACATTAGAACATATTAATTTATTCCACAGAGCCTACTGTGTGCTCAGCACTGTTCTAGGTACTGGGGATAGAGCAGTGGGCAAGACAGGTGGAAAACCTGCATCTGGAAGTACACCTTGTAGGGGAAACACACGAGATAAATGTGAAGTATGTAGTGTACTAGATCCTAATGCATGCTTATGAGGAAAAATAAATCAGAAGGAGAGGGTAAGTGTTGGGTTTATGTAGGAGGTTGAAATGTTCATAGGCTGGCCAGAGAAGGGCTCCTTGAGAAGGCAATATTGAGCAAAACCCTGAAGAAAGAGAAGGAAAGTGCCCTCCTGGGTGGAAGGAACAGCAACGCGAAGCGCAGGGGCAGGAGGCGCCTGGCGTCTGAGGTATAGCAAGGAGGCCAATGAGAGTAGCACAGAATGAGAGAGGGGCAGAGGACTGGGAGGAAAACGTTAGAGGAAGGAGGCCCAACCCTGTGGGCCTTATGGGTTACAGTAAGGGCTCTGGCTTTCACTCTGAGTGAGATGGGACAGTGTTGGTGGGCTGTGAGCAGAAGACTGAGGTGGTCTGACTTCCCTTTTAACAGAATGCCCCTGATTTCTGTGTTGAGAATAGACTGTGGGTTGGCAAGGGCAGAAGCTGAGAGACAGGGCAGGGGCTCTTCATTTATCCAAGGAAGATATGATGGTAGCTTGGACCACGGTGGCAGAAGTGTTGAGGATTGGTGGGATTCTGAATGTATTTTGAAGGTAGGGTTGGCAGATTTGCTGATGGATTGGATGGGGTGTGCAAGACAGAAAGAGGCTCAAGATAAGTTCAAGATTTTGAACTGATCTGAGCAACTTAAAGGACGGAACCACACTTAACTGAGATGTGGAAGCCTGCAGGAGGAGCAGCTTTTGGAGGAAAGACGAAATTTGGATCTGGACACGTGAAGTCTGAGATGCCTTGCAGACATCAAAGTGGGAATGTCAGCAAGGCAACTGGGTCTATGCACCTGGAGCACAAGGTGGAGACTGGGAATAGAGGTGTAAATCTGGGAGTCATCAGCAGACAGATGACAACGAAGAGATGAGATGACTGAGATCGCCCGAGGAATGACTGTAGGTAAAGAGAAAGGAGCCAAGTGCAGGGGTCTGGGAGATAAAGAGAAACCAGCAAAGGAGGCTGAGAATTAGCAGTCGGAGAGGTATGAGGCACACGGGGTAGGGATGGTGTCCTGGGAGCCAGTGAGGAAGGCCTTTCCAAGAAGAGAGAGTAACTGACTGGGTTAGATGATGCTGTGGGTTAACTGAGACAAGGACTGAGGACTGGCCGTTGGGTGTAGTAATATGGAGGTTGCTGGTGACCTGGGCAAGTTTTGGTGGTATGGTGGGGTGACAGTGGAGGAGAGAAATTGAGGATAACAAGTGTGAGTCAGTCTTTCAAGGCATTTGCAGTAAATGGAATGAAAGGAAGGGAGCAGTAGCTGGGGGTGGGGAAGGTAGCATCAATAGAGTGATTTTTCATTTCTCTTTTAAGATAAGAGAAGTAACAGCATGACCGAATGATCTGTGGCATATTAAAGCATTCGTCTGGTAGTACCTAGGACTAGTAAGTGTCTGCACGTAGTAGCTGCTCAATTGAGTTTATCTAAATATTCATCAATGCTTTTCCTCCTCCTTCTATCACATTATCCCTTCTGACAAGTTTGCCTTTCCTATGCTCCGTTTGACAGAAAGCATCTGAAAGTCTCTCTAATGCTAGGTTGTCTGATTAAGAACACTTCACCCCTCCCACACCCACTGATAGTTTCCAATCGTTAGGGAACATCTGTTTAGATTTTGTCTCTCTTCTAGCATATGATGTAGTTAAAAGGTGATGACCTTTCCTGTTTTGTCTGAGACTGTGCCAGTTTTATCACCTAAACCCCAGTGTCTCAGGAATTCCCTCAGTCTGGGACAAGTTGGTATGGTTGGACACTCCAGATATAGGACCAATCCTCACTTTGGCAGAAAGTACTCAAGCTACTTCAGCTGGTTAAAATGTTCAGCATGGTGCCTGGCGCTGAGTAAGACCGTAATAAATAGAAGGAGATGCTGTTACTGTACTTCTGAGTTTCACCTACCCCATGTCTCATTCTGGTAGCCCTGAATCTGTTTCATCAGGAGTTCCCGTGTGTGTGTGTCTATGTGTGTAGAGGAACACCCTTCAAGGCTTTGACTTCCAAGCATCTCTCCACGGGTGTACAACTTATCTCATGCAGGACAGGGAGTTGGAACTACACTCTCAGCTCTGATTTAGAAACAGCCATTTATGCACCAGCCCTGACCCAGCTTCTCACAAACCCCGTGCTCTCAACTTGTTCAATCAGGTCACTTTCTTGTGGCTCACTCTTTGTCAAAAGGCATTCTGACCTCATTGTTAGGACATCCACAACAAAATTTATCAAAGGCATTAAACCAGTACAAATCCCTCAAGGTACAAATAGATTTTTATCAAAATGTATCTCATATGGGGCAAATTGCAATAATAATTTTTGTCATTTTGGATTATGAAAATCAAATGGCAATTAAAGGTATCATAGTCCCATACTTGACTGCTGGACTGTTACTAATGGAAAGGAATACTTTATCAAATTTATTCACAATTATTTTAGAGGAATAGGACTTAAATATAGGAGGACTGAAGAGGGCAGTTATTTCTCCGTAGGACAATATAAACGATAGCAAAAAGAGTTTCAGTTATAAATTTTGAACTTGAATAATAAAGTAATTGAATGCAAATGTTTAGATTTTAACCACGCAAAGCTGCCAATTCAATTTCATACTGCAAACCAATTTGACATTATATTTATATTATACCTCCCAAAAGGTGTAACCTTGAAAAGGTTTGCTTAAATCGCTTTTTCTAACTTTTGAAATATCTTTTTATTATGAAAGTATACAGGAGTAGAGGGAATAGTATGTGAACTTCTATGAACCCATTACCCAGCTTCAATAATTTAATCACTTTTTGGTACTCTTTAGGCTTCTTTAGGAGAAGAGTTGAGGTATTAAAAGCTCTAGCGTGTTTGAGATTGAGAGAAACTTCAAGAAACTTGTAGTAACTCGGTTTTGATGCTGGAAGCATGATTAGCAAGGCCATGCATTTCTGCACATGATCGTTTGTGATAGCAAAGTGTCGTGGGCCACCATGTCACCAACTCATGGTGGTCCTGGTTGGAAAACTTGCATATGTACCCAATCTTTCTCTCCAGTTGAACATGTAGGCTATTGGAAAGATGTCAATATGGCAGCTAATCACACAGGGTTTGAGCTTGACTAGACCCGCCTATGTTCTAATTCTACTTCCTTCTCTTACCAGCAGGGTACTCATATGTCACTCAAACTCACTGAGCCTCAGTTTCATCACCTGTAAGTTATGGATGTTATTACCATGCTTTAAAGATTAAAGAAGTTAACGCATGTAAAATATTTAGCATAGGCTTAGAGTTGGAACCATCTCTTCTTATAGCTAGTTACAATACTCTTTTGACTTCATTTAGTGGATGTATTGTCATTGGAAGCAGATCCACTGACCACTGATGACAGGTAGCCAGGGCCATGCCACATCTCTCAAGGATGTTGCCTCCAGTCCTTCCCCCACCAGACAATCAGATCTCCTTCTGTGGGTGAATTTTATTTCCCACAGAAGGAGAATTTTATGGGGAAGCCTTATCCTCTGCAGATGTAAGTGAAGACTGGTTCCTTCTACTTGGCTTACCTTTGCCTGCCAGGAATGTTTCAAAATACTCATCCCAGCTTCCTGGGTCAGGGAGTCCTTTGTTCATCCTTTGAAAATAGTAGTAGGACACCATGTTGTCCTTGGCATTCCTTGCCACATAGATTATCTAAAGTGATGAGAAGAAATGGAAGAGACAGAATATAAATGATAAAAGGAGTTAGAAATTAGGCATTCAATTTGCATCCGTGTTCACACAAACCAAATTGTAAAGGCTGTGAATACATCTTTGTTCTCTTCCACTCATCATCCAGCAGGCAGTATAATCTTGTAAACGTGCAAATCTGATCAGGTGGCTCCCCTGTATAAAACTTTTCAATATCTGTACATTGCTCTTAGGATGAAGTTAAAAATTCTTGTCCTGGTGTACAAGGCCCGGCATGATCTGGCCCTGGGCTAGCTCTCCAGTTTCCCCTGCTCATTGCCCACAGCCCACATTTACCCTCCCTCTTTCTGTAGTAGCACTTTCTTTTGTGGCTCTTTTCTAATGTTTCTGGCCATCCTTTTTTCAGTGCATCCTGTTCTGCCATTCCTCTCTTAAATCAGGACGTTTTAAACTGATGAACATCAAGAAAACTGTGTGTCTCTGTAAAATAATATGCAAAATTTTGTGTAGCTGTGCACTTGGTGAGAAGTGGAGATATGACTTCCTTTACGTTTGCAATGGGTTTTGTGATCACTAAAAGTTTAAAACTAATTTATGTGTTGGTTTTCTTTAGAGCTCTGCCTGGGTCCTACGTTTATTCTCGTTTTGTTAGATTTTCCTGTTTTTTTTTTTTTTTTTTTTTTGCCATTTTCTTCCATTGCTGTAAATTTCACTTATTTATGACTCACAAATATGTTCCTAATACATGCCTCTCTCCTAAGTTATAGCCTTATCTGTCTCCACCTGAATGTTCTGCAGGCTTTTCAGATTCTATGGGCTCAAAATTCAATTAGGCTTCACACAAACTTTCTCTTCCTCCTTCATTGTCTCTTTCCATTAATGGTACCACCATCAACACAATTAAAATGACAAAATCATACTAGATGCTTATTTTTCCACCTCTCCCTGGCCAATCCTTGATCAAGTCCTGTAGATTCTGCACATTTGGAATTCATCTCCTTACAGCCTCTGCCTCAATTTGAATTTTCCTGGTTCTTTCCCTGACTGTTGCCATCATCTCCTCATTAATATCCTGCTTTCAGTCTTTCCCCAGTTCTGTTCACTCCTCCACACCACCATGTGTGGTGTGTGTAACTTACCTTACAGTTTTTCTCCCAGAAGGATGGAGGTAGTAGTTGCACTGGAAGATGAGTTTTCAGTGTCCTTGGGGAAGGCATTGCATTTGCCTGGTCAATACCTAAAACATTGTTCTGGCTTATTCTTTAATTTTTTAAAAGTTTTTATTTATTTTATTCTTTTGAGGAAGATTAGCCCTGAGCTAACATCTGCCACCAATTCACCTCTTTTTGCTGAGGAAGATTGGCCCTGAGCTAACATCCATGCTCATCTTCCTCTACTTTATATGTGGAACACCTGCCACAGCGTGGCTTGATAAGCTGTGCATAGGTCCACACCTGGGTTCCGAACTGACTAACCCCGGGCCGCCAAAGTGGAGCACGCAAACTTAACTGCTCCACCACTGGGCCCTCCCCAAAAGGTTTTATTTTTTATGCAATTGATTTCGTCAGGTTTTTTTCACTTGTGGCTTCTGGGTTTTATGTCATGTTTAGCACTTTCTCATTCCTAAATGATAAAAAACATTCTTCCTTGTTTTCTTTTAGTACTTTATATTTAATTTTGTATGATACAATCTTTGATACATTGGCCTTCACTTGGTGTCTAATTTACTATTGAGTCTTCCTCTCCGTTTCTCATCCCATTAACCTCCAATAATTACAGCAGGGCCTCTCAGCATCAAGGGGTTGTCGACACAGATGCAAATGAGGACACTGAGACCACGTGCTAGGATTTAGGTTACACACTGATCATCTAGATGGTCCAGAACATGCCTACATTATATTTTTAAATTACCATTCAGATAAATAATAGTTAAGAAATTGTTGTAGAGGTCTTGAGGACTTAAAAGGATGTCTCCATGGATGGCCTCTAAGGTCAAATCCAAATTACTTAGTGTAGTTTAGAATACTCTTCAAAATCTGTCCCTAGTTATTTTTAACTCCAATTTTTGCCACTTTTCCCCAGGCACCCTGGTGTGACACCGACTGAGCAGTTTTAAAAACGTGACACGTTAGGCTAGTTCAAAAAAAAAAAAAAGGAAAGACAATGAGCATTAGTTTGTTAATTCATTTTCCAAAGATGTGTTCATAAGTCACTTGTTTTCAGATTGGATTAGCATTGATTCCTGTAGAAGCAGCGTTATTAAAGATGACCAGGTTTCCAAGCTGGTCCGCTACAGTCTCTTTAATTCCATCCTATACCTCAGAGACATATACCTAGAGTAGTCCATACATATATATTGTGTGTATATATATACATATATATATATATATATGGCTTAGTGGTTAAGAGCATGGACTTTAGAAACAGAACTCCTGAGTTCAAACCTTGGCTCAGTTACCTATTAGTTGTAGACCTTGAGCAAATCATAACCTCTATGTCTCAGTTTGTTCATCTGTAACAGGGGTATAAAGAGCAGCTACCTCACAAGTGTGTTGTGAAGACTAAATGCATCAATACATGGAAAGTGTTTAGGATAATGCCTGGCACATGGTAAGTGCTATGAAAATCTTAGCTATGACTATATTATTTATTAGTTTTCCATGGAAAGTACATTATGAATTCTCACTCTGGACACTGGGGTCCTTAGTGCCAGGCGTCCTTGACATGGGCACTGAGGTCTCACATGGCAAAGTACAGCCTCTGTTGGGGGAGGAGGAGTGGGCAGATATTCCTTGTCACTTGTAACTCATTGATACTTCATTTAATAGAGAGATAGTACCTCTGTATTGTTAAGAATTAGGGCTAATTAAGTTTTTAAGTGAACAGACCTACCAGGATTTGCACAAGAAAAGATAACTTTCATCCAGCATTTAGATTTGGGACCAAAAGGAGTTTCTGTTTTTCAGCGTGTGGTAGACTTTCAGACTCTCAACTCCCAAATTGTCCATCTTTCTGTGAAGATTATGATTTTTTAAATTGGAGTCTTACCAGAGCATGTTGGTTTTACCCACTCCAGGAAAGGCTGTCGAAGTTGAATGGGAGCCCGCCTGCTCTTCTTAATGTCTCCATCGTTCTGTATCAGATCGACAATTTCCTGTGTCCAAGTGGTTCCTGAAAGAAAGCAGAACAAAGAACCGAGGAACTGATTATTGATTTTCTGAAGCTCACAATTTAGAAACATCTGATGCTATAAAAAGAATTAATTTGTCTATCAATATCTCACTTAAGTTATTTACTACGTTGAATTGAAATAAACTATTAAGATGGTCTTTTCCTCACCGGAAAGCTTAAGGGAAGAACCAGGACATTCATTTTTAAACTCCAATGATGTACTTTTAAAAAATCTGAATATGCATTAATATTTCTAGAAAATGATAGTACAAATAATTATTATATATAGCTATAGGGGTTAATTTAAAAAATATCTCCTTTTGGGGAAAATCACAGAAATTCCCAAACACTCGCTTCTATTATTAAACCCTGGCTGCTAATCAATAATCTTATTTCCCCTCTCTGGTTACTTTTTTTAGAATCATGAAATTCATCCAATGCCGATAACGTGAAAAGGAAGGAAAAATAAGGATCCCAAGTAATCCACAAACTGGAAAAAATCTAGATTGAATGGATTCCTTTTTAAAAGGCAGAAATTTCGTGTAATATTAAATTGTGACTTCTACAAGAGGGTTGAATTAGTTTTAAATGGAAAAATAACCTTTGCTACATTTGGGGATAATGTTTGTTTCTCTCTGAGGCCTCATCTATGGTCTCCTTCCTGATTCTGGGGGTTCTCTCAGCCCTGAGCACCCTTGGCCTCTGCAGTGTTTACCCTTCCAGGACGTTTCTCCCCATTTGGCTTCTGAGACACTTGGCAGAACTGGTCTTGTGTCTCTGGGAGGAAGCCTGGTTTGGATGTGTGTGGGGCTGTGGAATCATAGGGATTTTAATCCTATCTCTGGGAAGTAAGAGTGGGGTGGTTTTGGATAAATTATGTAAATCCACCCAGCATCAATTATTCTCCTGTGGTTTTGAGAATTAGAAGAGAAAACAGACAGAACCCAGCTTACAGTAGGCACTAAATAAATAAGTGTCTTAATTTTTTGACTGTGTTGGTGCTAATATACCTGGAGGGCCAGAGCCAGTACACAGGAGATGATCTTGCTCAGGTAACCCCTGGGGAGGAAGGTGCTATTCTTGTCATGGTGCCCTCATGCCAGTTTCCCATGATCCTGGCTCCCTCTTCCCTAGTACCTTGATGGTGGTCCCTGGGTGCTGTCCCATGGCTCCTCTTCTAGATTATTCTCTGGTACCACATCTACTCAGCTGTTAATTGGTTCCCACTCTTCACTGAAACTAATTTCTCCTTCTGCTCTCCTGGAATCAGAATTAGCTTCATCCTTGAGCCTTTTGTTGCCTCCTGGTCAGTTTATCATCCTAACTCCATAGCATTTGATTCTGCCCAATCCAGGCTGCTTTGGGAACAGTAGAGAGCCCTTCTCTGCATAGGCTGGCTCTGTTTCCTTTCCTGGACTCTGAGGGTGGCTGAGCTTCTCAAAGGAAGTCATGTGTGCCCTCTACCTGCAGACTCTACTTACGGACTTAGTTTTGCTGTCGTAAATGCTGTAAGCATCTCAGGAAAAATAGGCTCCCTTGGTGCTTGGTCCAGGCCACACAAGGGCTTCTGCTGGACTTCCTTGCCTCACACTCCAGACTGGTCCTGCAACCCAGCCTGTTGACAGGGTCCCTCACACCATGACTTGTACTCACCAGTAACTACCCTCTTTAGCCCCAGGAGAGCTGAATCCCACTAGCCTATGCTCCTAGAGTCATCACTGCTGCCTGACTTCCAGTGAAATCTGATAGCTGCCCTCCTATGGACTCTACCTGCTTGCTGGCATCTTCCAAGATATGGATGTTGACCTGAAAAGAATCTCAGCAAGCCATGACATGGCTCAGGCAAGCAGTGTCTGGAATTATGCCCTACAGCCATATATGGAGGATTGTAAAGGGTTTAGGATGTGTTGCTCACATTTTCCTTCTGAACAGAAGTGTTTATTCTCCCAGCTTCTGGGGCTGCTGCTGGCAGATAGCCCCCAGTTATTCATCCCTCTCCAGGATCAAGGTCACGCCCCTTTCCTAGGCAGCTTGCATCCAGTGACTGGCTGACAGTGTTCCTCTCTCCCCAGCTGGGATGGCACCAACTCTGAAGGAACATCTCGGCTTCAGAACATCCCAGGGGGTTGGGATGAGGCTTTTTTGGGGACTCAGTTGAATGTCAACTTCTCCCTCTGCTCAATCCCTCTTCCTTCTCTTCCCTTCCAGAGTGATCCCAACAGCACTCCCCATTAAACATTTCACACACTTATTTCCGAGTTGGAGTCTGCCTCCCAGGGCACCTGACCTCTGACATGGACAGAAAAGGGGCAGATTTGGGAGAGATTTAGGATTATGATAGGTTGACTTAGGTAAGCCAGGTAAGTAGCAGATGGGAGCCTGGAACCTCATCTGACCTTATTTGGAGTTGGGGGTCTTTACAGAAGAAATAAAGTTACAATGATGTCATTAGGGCAGGCCCAAATCTAATAAGACTGGTATCCTTATGAAACGAGGAAATTTGGAGACAGGTATGTATACGGGGAGAACGCTGTGTGAACATGCAAATGGTCATCTGCAAACCAAATAGAGGTCTGGAACGAATCCTTCCCTCACAGCTCTCAGAAGGAAGCAACCCTGACGACCCTTGATTTCTGACTTCCAGCCTCCAAAACCGTGAGACGGTACATTTCTGTTGTTTAAGCTGCCCAGTGTGTGGAACTTTGTAGTAGGCCTAGCAGACTTGCACCCTCCCTTCATAATAATCCCAGTAGTTCAGAGTTTCTTCACTGTACAGTACTTCCCCCTTATCTGTGGTTTGACTTTTTGCGGTTTCAGTTACCCTTTCTCAACCATGGTCTGAAAATATTAAAAGGAAAATTCCAGAAATAAACAATTCATAAGTTTTAAACTGAGTGACGCTTTGAGGAGCAATGATGGAATCTCATGCCATCCTGTTGCCAGGTATGTGAGTTATCCCTTTGTCCAGCGTGTCCATGCGGTGTATACCACCTAGCATTAGTCACTAAGTGGCTGTCTTGGTTATCAGATTGACTGTCAAGGCATTGCAGTGCTCGTGTTCAAGTCACCCTTATTTTACTTAGTAACGGCCCCAAAGCACAAGACCAGTGATGCTGGAAATTCGGATATGCCAAAGAGAAGCTTTAAAGTACATCCTTTAAGTGAAAAGGTGAAAGTTCTTGACTTAATAAGGAAAGAAAAAACTCAAATGCTGAGGTTGCTAAGATCTATGGTAACTATTATTACAGTATATTGTTATAGTGATTTTGTTTTATTGTTATTTTTGGTAATCTCTTACTTGCCTAATTTACAAATTAAACTTTATTGTAGGTAGGTATATATAGGAAAAAACAAAGTATGTATTGAGTTTGGTAGTATCTTTAGGCGTCCACTGGGGGTCTTGGAATGTATCTCCCGTGGATAAGGGGAGACTACTCTATTTCCCTCCATCTAAATTAGGACCCACCAATATTCTCTCATTACGCCCTCTATGTTTCCTTCTTAGCCCTTATCACATGTTGTAACCAAAGATCTGTGTAATGCTTTGGCTAATGGTATAATGTCCTTTTCCATTTACTGGATTATAAATGCATGCAGGGTGGAGATAATGAACATTTTCTCTATCACTATGTCTGGTGCTAGTCTCTGGTATTTAAAAGATTCTTGGTAAATTGTTGAATGAAAGAAAAAAATGACTAGGATAAGTGTTTTGACCTGAGGAAACTGCTTTGGCTAGTTATATATTTTAAATAAATCAAGTACTCTATCTCATAAAAAACCTTTATAGTTTTATAGAGAAATTTCAGTTCCTTTGCCATTCTACCTGATTTATAGGCAAGAACATTGCCTTCCTCCACTCTTAAACTTTACCATATTGTCCTAAAAATAGCCGACACATGCTCTGACTTGCATTCCCCCTTCTCACGTCTCTTTACGTACCTGCTTTGGGATAGGAAGCAATGACCAGATCATCAGGCTTGGCCTGGAAGTTCCAGACTTTATCCCAGATGTTGCATACGTTCTTTGCTAGCATAATCCCATCTACTTGGGAAACTTCTCCTCGGGGTAGCAAGGCCCAATCTAACTCCCTTGTCTCCTCCACCTTATCCTTAGCCATTGTCTCCATCTTGGTCTTGGGCACCAGCAGGAGAAAGTGAAAAGCAAGTGAAAGTTAGGATTCACATAGGTTTATATACTCAGTGCTTTGGGCACAGAGCTCTAGTCATTTGTTCCAGGTATGTATGGTCAGACAAATGAAGGCAATTTGCATGGCTTTGTACATTCTGAACTGTACTGGAACTGGAGCAAGATCCTTAACACCATGCCAGAATAGGCCTTCCTTAAAGCAAGGTTCTGGCGGGGCCCCATCCTGATGCTGCCAAAAGGAAGAATAGTGGGAAGGCAGCTCAGCTAGGGTGACTGCCCAAGTCCAGAAGGTCATTTCCTGGTCCTGTGGATGCCCACTAATACGGGAACTCGAGAGGGGTCCCTGAAGGAATGTCTGGAGCAAGTATCCAAGAACCACCTTCCTGCCTCCCTCTCTCCTGGAGTTAGTGATCTGTGTTCTGAGCTTGGTCATCCATGGAGATTCAGAGAAACGTCTTCCCCAGGCTGAGCAGAACTGAGCTTCTGTTAACGTGTCACGTGTTAGAGGCACATGTCGGTGTCACCAGTGGCGACAGTTCAGCTTGGAATTCCGTCACAACTTCCAAGACTGAATTAGAAAGTTACTTAATTCTCAAACTCTGTTCTTTTCTGTAAATGAGAGGTTAGACTGTAATATTTCAGGACTATTATCAGATAGAGTTTTTTTAAGTCAAACGTAATTAACATACAGTAAAACACACAAACTTTGTTTACATCTTAATGTATTTTTACTTATACATACACCCCTGTAACCACCACCTAGATCAAGAAATAGGAACACTTCCATCACCTCAGAAAGTCCCTTCTGCCCCTTCCCAGTCAATGTCTCACTACCAACCCATGCCCAAGACAAGCACTGTGCTGACTTTTATTGTCACGGATAAGTACTGCTTATTCTTGAACTTCATATTAATGGCATCACACATTATGTACTCCTTCATGTCTGGCTTCCTTCTTTCGACGTGATGGTTTTGAAATTCATTGATATGGTTGCAAGTGTGAGTAGTTCCTTATTTCTATTGCAGTACACTAGATCACTAAATAAATACACAATTTGTTTATCCACTCTTCTTTTGATGGACATATAGGTTGATTCCAGTTTTTGGTGATTATGAATAAAGCTTCTATGAGATTTTTGTACTTTTTTGTGTGGACATACGTGCTCATTTCTCTCGGGTGTAAGCCTAGGATCTGAACTTCTGAGTCATGGATATGTTTACCTTGAGCAGGAACAAACAGTTTCCCAATCCACACTTAAGGACACAGCTTAATGACCATCTGTCTGAATGACTTCCAAAAGTTTCTTCTAACTCTGAGATTCTTTCCCTCCAGTAAAGTGGGAGGAATGACAACCTTTTATTTATCTCCCTTAGTTGCTGGCTCGGGTGGTGTTTGCCCTGTAAGATTGTACGTTTCACTCACTTTGAAGTGAATCCAGCATTGTCCCTGTGTCACTATGTCAGAGAGTCAGGCTTCTCCAGGCGTCACTTCTGCCAGAATTTCTCTCAGTCTCAAGATTGACCACCCTAAGCAAGGAGATTCTTCTCTCTGTCACCTTAAAGGGATTTTAGAGCCCGTACTGTTCATCCATGTTCTAGTATGTGTCCTCTGGCATGCTGGGTATTGGCATTAATCACAAAGTTCAAGCAAACCATTATAAAGGTCATTGGGAAATGGTTGTTTCTCTACTTTAGCCACCATTGCTACAGCTGTTTCCCTGACTGTCCTCACATGTACTGCAGGATCTTCTTCAGAGAAGACTTGCCACCTGGGATCCTGGGGCAGAAGGCAGAGAGGAAGAATTTGCTAACTATATTATAGTCGATTTCTTCTTCTTCTTCTTTTCTTTTTTGGTGAGGAAGATTAGCCCTGAGCTAACATCTGTTACCAATCTTCCTCTTTTTGCTTGAGGAAGATTGTTGCTGAGCTAACATCTGTACCAACCTTCCTTTATATTTTGTATATGGGACACCACCACAGCATGGTTTGACCGGCAGTGTATATGTTTTTGCCCGGGATCCAAACCCATGGACTCTGGGCGCCAAAGTAGAGCCCATGAGCTTAACCACTATGCCACTGGGCTGGCCCTGATTACTTTTTTTCAGATAAGTCTAGATATTTCCCAAGTTTTCTTTCTTTTTTTTTTACGTGAGGTATGTATACTAGTTTGAACCATCTGAAATTGCCATTTTTGAGATTTAAAAAGGTCAGATCTTGGCTGTCCTTGTTTTTAAGTTACTAACTCTCAGATCCAAGTCCCACCACTCTGGTTTCCTTTGAGATGTGGGAGGCTGGAACTCTACAATCCATGTTTCTGCTTGGCCAGCTGGCCCCTCTGAGTGTCCGCCCGTAGAGAGAGTGAGAGACAAGAGTAAGAACATGGGTTTGCTCCCTTCTGTGAGCAGGATGCCAGAGATGTTTCTTCCCTCCACTGTGGCAGTTCCTTTCTGTAGCAGCGGCTGAACAGTTTGCAGTTTTCTCACCACTTGCAGAACCAGCCTCATCGAGGCCTTAGAGACATACACCAGGCCTGGTGTGCTCCCTCCCCAGAGCCTGGAGTTTCTCCGCCAAGATTTTAAGTAATTTTAGTCATTCTGAAGTTGCTGCCTTCGTGATACTTGAGTAGTTTTTCTTTGTTTCTTTTTTTTTTTTTTTTGCCAATTTCTAATAATTTAACCTAATAATTACTGGCGTATCTGAATTTAATAGGACATCATAAATATAATGGTTGCTCTGAGTAGTCTAGAGTGTTACCTCCCTCTTTAGGGTTCTGTGTGGAAGGTCAGAGACGTGCCAGCCATTTTCCTCCTATAGTCTTCACTGACTCTCTCACTCTGTGCACTTTGAAGCAATCCTTCCTGTCTCCCACAGTCCCTGAAAGACAACAAACTCATACTTGAGAGACGGGGTGGGAAGTCTATTCAAAAAGCTTTCTCCTTGAAGTGAAATTTTAGAAATAACTAAAAACTACTGCTTTTTATTACAGATATGCATCACCATCTATTTTCTTTCAAAGAGTAGTATTTTGAGAAAATCTCAGAATTATTGGTAGCATAGTGATAGTTAAAAATTAAATGACAATATTAAATATTCTTTTCCAAAATACTGGTTATGTAAGAGTATTGTTCTCAGTGAAGTTCATGATGGCTGGAAAGTACCTTTTCTCACAAATGGGTAGATGGAGTGGTCCATGACATAAGAAGACAGCATCGTGTAGTTGGTCATTGGGTTTTTCTTCATGCTTTCAAATGAAGTGTACTGAACAATCCTTGACAATCTCTTCATCTAGCTTCTTACTCAAAACTTGTACTTTCTTTTGAATTTCATGTTCTGGGTTCTGTGTGGGGGTGGAGGGAGTTGGGGGGAAGGACAACAAGTAATCCTTAGGGGATTTTTGGCGAGAAAATCAAGGAAAGCAAGGAAACAAAATATGGGAGAAATTCTTTCACTTCACTCCATCTCAGTATTTGTGATATTGTTGGTCTTGGTCACCTAAAGAAAAACAAGGTTTTCTTTATCTTTAACTTCAGGGGTATCATGTCCTGTTGATTTCTCTCTCTCTGTTTCTTCTGCTTTTCTGAGCAGTCAACCATCTTTACTGTAACTTCCCTTTCAGAAACATATAGTGACTTCCAGTATCTGGGGTTTTTACCCATCCCCTCTTTCCCCTACTCTGACAGGTCCCTGTCCCTCAACTATTACCCCATCCTTGGTCCCTGTCCGAGACACAGACCCCAATTCTTTTCCTTATAGTTTCACTGGCCAGCTCCTGCTCTGACCTTTCCCAACCCTGTATTTTTCTCATTGCTGCAGAATTTTCTTCACCCTTGAATCTGTACTAGATGCCCCTTTGTCAGAAAGATATTTGACTAACCCCACCTGGAATATTCTCTTAGCTTATGGGTAAGTCCTTGCATATTTATTTTAGCTTCTAGGAAGGGTAAATGCTATGAATAATACAAGCCATAGAGGAGGATGATTTTAACATCTGAATTTTTGAAATTGGAGGAAATAAAGCAGTGAGATCATCTAGGTAGGTATTTTTATAATGAAGTATGGATAATCCAATTCTTAGGCAATATTTTTTTGCACCAAAGATTGACAAAACATTTCCCCAGGAAAATGAACAAAACAACTAGCTGTTTTTGAGCCAAGTAGAGCACCCATTGGAGAAAAAACTATTTTATGCGAATGGCAGGTACTTTGAGGTACTAATCTTACATGGATCTGATAAAGCAAGAAGCAAATCATCTCTGGGAACAAAGTGAGGGTAAAGGCAATTTGAGAGCCAAAGAGGCTATAGAAGTTGGTTGCATAATTCTTGTTTCCAAGAACCTTTCAGACAGAGAGAGAAAACTGTTCATCTTGGACTTCCAAAGGCCATCAGGGTCCAGGAGTCCTTCTCTGGTTCCTGCCCCATGGCACAAGGCAGTGTATGTGGATATTCCATCCTGGAAGTTTCCTTGCTTTGCTAATATGTAGGCAGTGAATGAAGAGGTGCATTGTCTATCCTCCTTCATTTCCTTGTAGAAGAAGTAGAGAATTTGATGATGCTTGTTTTTCTTCTTCCGTCATTGTTTTACATGCTCATATCAGTAACACACACACATTGAAAGAAAGAGAAGGTATGAGTGGGCTTACTTGCCTAAGAGATGGTACATGAAGGCTCCCGAGGCTGGGGCTGAGTTTCAAGGGGAGGAGTTTGGTGAAGCTGAAATCAGAGCTAGGTTAATTCATCTGCTTTCCTCTCACTGTAGAGTAGACATCACTTCATAGGACCCCATGGGATCCACTCACCCTCCCCTTCGCAGATGCTTCAAAGTACTGATTCTATGTTCTGGGGCTGGCAGGGACATGGTCATCTTCTGGAAGTAATAGTAAGACACCGTGTTGTCCTTGCCACATAGATTATCTGAAATAGTGGGTGAAACAAGGGCAAGAGAAAGAAAATCTTATTATTTGTGTCATCACTAGTCTGCAAATGAAAGAACGTTCCCACAGG